AAAACATATGTTTTTAATACATGACTGATTCATGAATAATTATATGCATGAGCTCATCGTTGTTTATAATACTAAATCCTTGCATTTGTAATACATGATCCGCACGCGGAGCATGTACTAAAAACGGCACTGCAAAACAAGTCGTTCCTGCGCCGCGTCGGCCGGCAAAATGTAGATGTTGATGCCGAAGCGAAAGGCTACGAAATGTTAGTCAGCGTCCGCGGGCCGTGCCGCGCGTGCAACCCAACATTGAAGCTAGGGTCGATGGGGGGGGGTCGATGGGGGGGCAGAGCTTGCTTTCAGCTTCGCGGAGTGTTGCAGAAGCGTTAAATTTGGGCATGCTTCCGCCTCCGAGGGCACTCGCTGGGCCACAAGACCGTCAGACAACTGCTCGGGTCGCAAAGCTGGTCCCCGGGGAGGGGTCGAGGCCTCTGGGGTGCCAGTCGAGCCGGAGGTCTGTGTCGTCGACGGCGACGACGACGACGACATCGCCGACGGTGACGACCATGACGTCGCCGACGACGAAGACGACGGTGGGGACGGCGACGCGAATGCCAAGGACACGACGAGGGCGGCGGAAGCGATGACGACGACATCAACGAAGACGACGATGGCATCGACAGCAGCGGCGGCGGCGGCGGCGGCCACAAGCCGCGCCAGCTCCTAACCCCCTCCCCCCAAATCGATGGACCAGAAAACAAGCGACAACACCCCACCTGCGGCCCCACAGGCCTTAGCATATACCGCGAATGCCGGCTCGGGCTTTTGCGCGCTATACGCTACGGCCACCGATGGGTCGTAGCGCAACCGTGGAGGGCCCTATGTGGGGTGGTGTCGTGTGGCTTTTTTAGTCGAATCGACGATCGAGGTTCGAGGACCAGATGTGTTCATGATTTGTCAACTCTTCCGAGCGTCGAGGATGAAGGAAATACCAGCAAGCTGGACAAAACACATGGCTGGAAGCCTCGCGATGGAGACGCACACGTGCAGAGAGCGGCAAGCCCAGGGGGGAAGTCAGAGGGGGCGCGGGCCTCCTCGGGAGGCCCGGAAGGGCCACGGCCTCCCGAGAAGTTCGCGGAGCCTCCTCCGAAGACAGAGAGACACGGCCCCCGAGAGAGGGCCGGGAGGGCTGCTGCGAAGCCCTGCCCCCCCCTCTCCCCCCCCCTCCCCCCCCCCTCTCCCCCCCCCCACTCTCCCCTCCCCCCTCTATCCCCCCCCTGCCCCCCCCCCCCCCCCTCGCCCCTCCCCCCCCAGGGTGCGCCGCAGAGCCTGCGGGCGGGCAGGCCCGGGGAGACCAGGGGCTGGACCACCTCGTCTCGCGCGGCGCGCCCCGCAGCGCGAGCCCACACCTCCACGCCCAGGGTCACCAGCCTGGAACATGTCCCTATCCCTACGCTGGGCACCTCCTCATCATGATGCCAGTCTTAGGGATTCCCTTCTTTTTTGAGGGCGAATGCCTAAGATTGTCATCGCCTTTTGGCGTGTCAATCTTAGGGATAGGGATACGTTCGAGGCTGGTATCAGGGGCCCGCCCGCTGGAGGATGGGCAGCCCCCTGGCCTGGACGGCGAGGCGCGCAGGGCGCGGCCCTCACGGCGCCCGCGCGGGTGAGCCGGCCAGGGACGGCCGATGCTGTGCAGCTGCTGCGGCGACCGTGGCAGACCCCGACAGTGCCGTTCTCTCCGAGAGGGGTGGGGGGGGGGGGGGGCGCTTTCGCTGCTTCGTCGTGCGCGGGGCTTCCGCGGGGAGGTTCTTCCCGGACGGGGGGGGGCACAGGCACACACCGCCAACAGCCCGCTTCTGCCACACGAGGCTTCTTACTGCGTGAGCCCTGGACTCGGAAGCTCCTTTTGTTTGACATCACGCGCAGCATCCGAACAAAGAACGCCGCACCCTAAGGCGCCAGGGAAAATTGTTGCCGATTCTCGGCGAGCAGCAGCCACCGGCAGCGCACTGGATAACGTTCACACGCTCTTTTACAATTCCACATCGAATTCCTAGCGAAGGCAAGCGTGAACCGTGCGCACACACGGATCTCCAACAGCAGCCCGCGGCTGCGGGAGAGGCATACGGCATGCCCGTCGGAGGGCCCCCAAACCTCTCCGCCGACTAAGCCCAGATTTGGGGGAAGCGCCGTCCATGATCCCAGACCTCCAGGGCCTTGAACCAAACCAGGACAGATTTGAAATGACCAAGACTGACGGCGGAAACGTCGGTGTCGGTCTTGGTCATCGTCCATCTTGGTCCTCGTCAATCTGTCGAATACCCTCGCGACTCAACGGCGACCGGCACGGACTATGACCAAGACCGACATCGACAAGATCCATCGACATCTTGGTGATGGTCATCGTGCTTCTTCTCTGGACTACAGCCGAACATGCGAGTAAGACAATTACTATTCGAAAAACCTTGGCCAGCTTTCCGGAAGCGTCTTCAAACGAACCTGGGCCAACTGTTTTGGTCGCGCTGGAGGGGCGAACATGCTCAAGAAACGCGGCCAGCCTTCCGAGAAGCCGGTCAAGAAATGCTGGCCCAGATGCTCGACCATAATGCTGTTCGACACTCGCGGCCTCCAAGGGCAGCTCCTGGGCTCCAGAGGACCCGCGAGCAACGACCCCTGGAATAGCACGGCCCCAGGGAAGGGACCGAGAGGCACCCCGTGCCGAGAAGAAGGCGAAGCCAGGACGAGGACAAATTCGGGCGAGGATGAGTCGAGAACCTCTGAGATCTGGCGGCTCTGGAAGATGTCTCGGGCGCCGCAGCCTTCTCAGAGTGTTCCGGAACGCTCTGTAACTATTTTTCATCCTCATCCTGGCCCCGTCCGAGAGAAGCACAGGACGTCGGAGGTCGGGGATGGAAGCAAGCCGTGCCTCGAAGAGTGGAGGTCGAGGCCTCCATTCCCAGACAGACGAGGATCCATTTGGCCATGAGCTGCCGGAGGTCCACGCAGACTTCTTGGGTCGGCGCCGAAACCCCCTCTCTGCGCAGCCACGGCGGCGCCTCCGACGCCGCCCCAGTCGCGCGCTCCGCGCGCCCAGGCAGAGGGCAGGGCCAGGCGCTTCCCTCGAGGCACTCTCATCAGACAGTCCTCGGGAAAAATAACGAACACTCATGCCACATTCATCTGTGAACGCCTCCCCCTCCCCCCCATGTTCAGAGTTGGCGGTGGGTCTGACGAGCTGCATCTCGACCGCAGTCTCCCCCGCGCGTGCCAACCTTGAGCTTGGGGGGCAGGGGGGGGGCTCACGAACTGCTTCCCTCTACCGGGAGGCAGAAGAAGCATCGAGCCCCTTTCGTACCCAAGCTGCTCCCCGTCTCGGCATCTTGACTGCAGGCCCCATGCTCGGGGCACAGGGTTTTTGGATCCGCGGGTCGCGGGCGCACCTCTTCCGGTCGAAGCTCGGCGGGCCGCGGCCGAAGCCTGAATTCACAAAGAGGGGGGGGAGGTAAAGAAGGAGAGGCCCCACGGCAGGATCGGGGGGAGGAGGCAAAAGCCTCGGGATCGGGCGGTGCCGAAGACGACGTGCTCGCAAAGGGACGCCTTGGACGGGAGCCCGCATGCTCGGGGGGCAGGGCAGGACTCCAAGCCGCACGCCGCCGTGGGGGGCCCATATCGGCGTGCTGCGGCCGACGGGGCTCTCCGAGGCCTGCGGAGCCGGGCGGGCCACGGGGGAGCAGCGCTCGGAGCAGGGCGAGCCGAGACAGCGGATGCAGTCCACAGGCACGGTAAGGATGCGCGGTTCGGGGATGGACAGACCCCCCTTTGCCCTCGGGCCCAAACCTGGCGGGCGCAAGCCTGGAAAATAACGGCCGCGGCGCCCTCTCGAGAACCGAAAACGGACAATTCACCAATCGACGTGTCACTATTGGGGGTTCTGTCCATCCCCGAGCGGTAATTTTGGGCGAGCAACGACATATGTACATGTACGCCCTCCGCGGTCTTGCCTGCACGAACGTCCGCGTTGACACGCACTCCAGGGGAAGCTGACCGCGTAGGTGTACACATGTTGCTGGCCTCTGGGCCTCGGGCGCCCATCTCGAAGCTTCTTCCGAGCGGGGCGCGGGCAGCGAAGGCGGCGAAGGCTGGACCGAGGAGGCGAGGGATGCAATGGGTACCCTCGGGAAGGCTGCCCATCCTTACTGCTGCCAGCGAAAGCGGCGAAGGATGGACCGAGGAGGCGAGGATGCAGGGGTACCCTTGGGAAGCTTGCCCGTCCTTACTGTGCGGGCTGGCTGTAGCTCAAATCGCTCCCCGGACCCCTCCCCGGGAGCAAGCGCGTCAGCTGTCCGAGCTGCGCCCCGCGCCTTGGCGGCGAGGGCCCCTCCGGCAGGCCAGCTGCCGCTGTCTCTGCTCGCTCCTCTTGAGCACGCTGGCGGGCTGCGTCAGCGTGTCGGTGATGCTCTTTCTCCCTCCCGGTGTATGCCGTCGTTGGGGACGCCAAGAGGTACCGATGCCGCCACTCCCCAGACCTCTCCCGGGGCGCGTTCTGACCAGGACCTCGAGGCGAATCCGGCGGCGGCGACGGGGGCCTCCCAGGAGGCCCCGGCAGAGGGCGAACACGAGGGAAGGGTAGCGGTATGGGTACCTTTCCTCCTCTGAGCTGTTGGGCCCTCGGACTCCCAGAGCTGCTGGGGCAGCCCCCGCAGCGCCGAGCGCGCCCCGCGGACGCGCGCGCCCTCACTGGGCGGGCGCCGCAGGACGCGGCGGGCGGGGCGCCCTTGCCGGCAGGCGCGGCGCAGCTGCAGGCGCAGGGCGAAGCGGCAGCGCTTCGCGTTCGGGCGGGTTGGTCATGGGGGGGCGACCTCCGCTGGGGGGGGGGGGGGGGGGGAACTTTTTGGTCCGCGGGTCGAGAGCGGGCCTCTTCCGGTTAAGAGCTAGGCGGGGCGCGCAAAGCACTAATTGGGGAGACAGGGCGCGGGCGGGCGGGGCCTCAGGCGGCCGGAGGGCGCGGGGAGCGGGGGGGGGGAACACAAGGGCCCTGAAGGGGGCCTTCCTGGGAA